ATTATATTAAGATTTAAAACAAATAAAAAACAATCGACAAAACGATTACATAATATGAACTAATGGAAGGTATTTTCTTGGATTAGTTGAAGTTAAACATTAACATCGTTGAATGCCAGCCAGCTCAGTGGTTTAGTGGGTTAAACGTGCTTGTGCGAAATCGATACGTTTTATGTTCGAATCTCGCGAGGTGGGATCATAGATATGCACTGCTGAGGAGTTCTATAGTTGAGATGAAACAGCCATGCAAAGCTTTCATTTTTTCCATAGTGGTCTAGCTTCAATTGATTTATGATCTGAACTATTGAAACTACTAAAATGTCCACAAAACCCCTTCTAATAGTAATCAACATATGCTCACTAATGACTGGCTTCAAAAGGTGTATCCTGGAGTTCTAGTGAGAAGCAGTGATAAGTGGAATTCAATCAGGTCTGTTGTGAGATAATAACTCATTGAAGACAATCGTGGATATGTCACTCTATTTCATGGATTAGTTGAAGTTAGACATTAACACCGTTGGATACCAACCGGCTCAGTGGTTTGTAGGTTAAGCATTCGCGTGCAAGATTGATATGTTCTGGGTTCGAATTTAGTTAGGTGATATCATGGATGCACACTGCTGAGGAGTCCCATACTAAAACGAAATGGTCATGCAGTGTTTCAATGTTTTCCATGGTGGTCTAGCTTCAAGTGACTCATGATCCCAACTACTGGAAGGTAATTTATTTGTTATTATGACTGAAAATCTTACCTTAAATTTAAGCCTATGTTAATTACTGTTAGAAGTAGCCTCCTTGTTACTTCGATGTTTAATGTACAGATATGTCCGTCTTGGCAGCGGTGACAGTCAGACTACTTCTTGCAGAATAGGTACCATCATCTAAAATCATATTTAAGAGGGATTTTATAATTACAAAGTTTATAGCACTCCTATCATGACATAAAAATTTAAGTCATTCGAGTTTTGATAATTTTTCACTTTGCTAACTTTAAACAGGTTTCTAATTCAACCATTATAATTTTATTACCTTAACTTTCCATTAATTCCTATGAACATCAGTACGCTTTATTCACAACATAGTATTACAGCATATATTTATTTCATCTTCAATATACCCATTTATAGGTTCTTTGAAGGTTTGCATTTTCCCTAGACAATAATATGGTTCGAATCTATACGTATCTATAGGTTCCTAACAATATATGTTCCATAACTCACAAACAAGTGATCTCTAACATGATTCAATAACTAAGAAGTTGACACTAGATTAAAGTACTAGTGAAGTATCGACACACTGTGTTAATATCTTATAGACTAAATGATTTTTGTCTCCTAATTTATACTACTAGCTACTACTTATAATATAGTTAGCACATTTGAATATTTTCTATATTTAAACCGAACAATAATTGTATAAGTAGTTCAGAAGGTATAATATAATCTCAGATGTAAACAATCAAGATACCTCAAAGTATATCTAAAAATAGTACTGTTTTCTTTTGTTTCTCAAAAAAAAAAACGTTACACGTCAAAAAAGTCATTTTATATTATTTTGATTTTCTGTAAAATAGAATCCTCGACGTTTGAATCCCTACTGAGCAGAAGATATGTTACTTAGCTTAAATGAAAGTACAAGCGACATTCTAAAATGGATTAATCTGCAAAGTACTTTTCGATGCATGTTATTGTTTTTTGATCATTTATGATCGATAAAGCATTACTTGGTTCAAAATATATCTAGAAATAATTGAATAAAAATTAGAGGATGTACACATTTAAACTATTCAATGTTTAAGTTTGTAGAACAATATGGTTCACAATCAAACTATCCACCCTAGAGATTGTATTCATTTAATATTTTATATTCCTTTCGATAAAGCGTCTTTTGGTTTTTCCTTCTGTTTGATGAGTAAGCTTATAAAAATACATTTGTATGCTTGTACTGTAAATCATTCATCAGTTGGTTATCCAATAAAAATACCGTTCACAGTCTTGTGTTAGTCGTATCTGTAAAGTTATCATAAAGTTTTTAAAAGAACTACAGGAGAGTTCTATGAAATTCAAATACCTCTGTTGTTTTATTAAACTTAGTAATTATTATCTTAACAAAATTTAGAAACTTAAAGAAATAATATAAGTTTAACAAGATAATCCAGATATTCGGTTGAAACACTACATACTTTAAAGCAAAATAAGATGTTACCAAATAGTCTGAATAATCTCGTTGTTGATATTTATGGTCACTCTCTTTTTACCATAAGGGCATGCTGTGCAGATTGCCTCGATATAGTAGTTATGACACAAGTTGACATAGAATAGATAGAATGTGGTTAGCAGTGGAATCAAACACGTTCATTAATGAAATAGATATCTATGTCTTAGTCTACTGTAAAATATGTATATCTGCATTTCTCTAAACGTATTATACGGAGTATTCATACCATATAAAAATTTTATTACTGTGAGTGCGAATAAGTCACAGATACTGCGAAATTTCCCCAACTAATTAGTATGAGCGTCAAAACTAATGAAAAATATTTGTGAACAATATTTGGTGATATAAAATTATGTAAAATGAAGTTATTTGTTCAACAGAGTGAGTTGGAGATTACTGGTCGGCGGCCTATGCTCCACTGGGAGTAACAGGCATACCAGCAACCCCCACCAACATGTTAACGCTCACACTGATGTGAAATCAGACAGAAAATTCATTGTAGAAAGGAAACGAATTTTCTATTTCAAGTAACTATATCGGTTTAATTTGATAATTCCAAACAAATTGAGCATTGAGTAGATTGTTAAAAATAAAAATAATATCATAAAATTAACAACATATGCCCATTAATGACTGGCTTCAAGAGGTATATCCTGGAGTTCTAGTGAGAAGCAGTGATAAGTGGAATTCAATCAGGTCTGTTGTGAGATAATAACTCATTGAAGACAATCGTGGATATGTCACTCTATTTCATGGATTAGTTGAAGTTAGACATTAACACCGTTGGATACCAACCGGCTCATTGGTTTGTAGGTTAAGCATTCGCGTACAAGACTGATATGTCCTGGGTTCGAATCTCGTGAGATGGTATCATGGATGCGCACAGCTGAGGAGTCCCACACGAAAACGAAATGGTCATGCAGTGTTTCAATGTTTTCCATGGTGGTGTTGCTTCAACTGACTTATGATCTCATCTATTAAATATAATATATTTGTAATATCACAATTAGTTTAAAAAATTATATTTTCTAACGTTTTGTAACACAGTTTAAACCGCTTCTTCAGAGAATAAACAACCAAATCAAAATTAACTCGACTTTAAATAGTATGCATTTCCAATTACTTCTCTAACTCAAACTTTTTTTCGAATTTACTGATGAATAATCTAAAAAGAATTGATTTTTTGGGGGGGTCGAAATAAATAAAGCAATGGTGCAACGTGGAAACAAAATGTTATTTCTTTTTTATGTTCAAATTTTGCTCTTTCTCAATAGTAACTATCATTCCAAAATGTTTATGAGAAGTAGTTATAAAATATATCTTTATAGTTGAAAAGTTTGCTGTCATTGAAAGATGTGACTGAAAGTTGATAGATCTTTTAGATGAATTTGTCATATTTTTGGTATTGATAATAAATGAAATAATAAGTCTAACTTTCTTTGTCTGGCAAATTATGATTAAACATATAACAGGCATTGGAATTTATTAGAGTTATTCAGAGTTGTTTAAAATGGATTTACTTATTGACTGCATATTATGAATCTTCTGTGAATCGATTAATAAATTGTAATCAAGTAAGTGTGGATATCTGATATAACAACTCGCGTGAGTCATCCGAATTGTTCCAGAAATGAGGAGATACAATCTAGAGATGCTTGGGGTCAGTGAAACACATTGGACGTAAGTTGGACAACAACGAGTAACTTCAGGGAGGTTTCTGCTATACTCCAGCCATGAAGAAGAAAATGCACCACATACACAAGGAGTTGCATTGATGCTGTCCAAACAAGCGCAAAATGCGCCTATAGGATGGGAATCTCATGGACCAAGGATCATCAAAGCCTCGTTTAAAACAAAGAAAGAGGCCATTTCAATGAACATCATCCAATGCTATGCGCCTACCAACGACTACAATGAAGACGCTAAAGATCAATCATACAATAGGCTGCAGTCAATCCTCGAGAAGTACCCAACAAAGGACCTGACCATTCTGATGGGAGATTTCAATGCCAAGGTTGGAACGGACAACACTGGATATGAAGACATCATGGGACGACACGGACTGGGAGAAAGAAACGAAAATGGTGAGAGATTTGCAAACCGATGTGCCTTCAATAAACTGGTCATGGGCGGCAAAATATTCCCACGTAAGTGCATTCACAAAATCATATGGACTTTACCGTACCATACCACGCAAAGCCAAATAGGCCGTACCTGCATCAACATAAAGTTCAGGAAGACTATAGAGGACGTGAGAACCAAGAGAGGAGCTGATATAGCATCAGATCATCCCTTGCTGGTCACCAAGATGAAATTGAAACTCAAGAAACACTGGACAACAGGGCGGACAATATCACAAAAGTTCAATACGGCCTTTCTTCAGGATACTAACAAACTCAACGAATTCAAGATAGGCCTCAGCAACAAGTTCCAGGCCTTTCATGATCTACTCAATGGAGAAGGAACTACTGTGGAGAGCAACTGGAAGGGGATCAAAGAGGCAATCACTTCAACATGTCATGAGGTCCTCGGTCACAAGAAGCACCATCACAAGGAATGGATCACTGTTGATACACTGGATAAGATTCAAGAAAGGAGGAACAAGAAGGCAGCAATCAATACCAGTCGAACAAGAGCAGAAAAAGCCAAGGCACAAGCTGAATACACAGAAGTACACAAGCAAATGAAGAGGAGCATCAGAACCGACAAACGTAAATATGTGGAAGACTTAGCAACGATGGCGGAAAAGGCTGCAAGAGAAGGAAACATGAGACAATTTTATGACACAACAAAGAAACTGTCTGGAAATCACCGTAAATCAGAACGACCAGTGAAAAGCAAGGAAGGCAAGGTAATCACCAACATTGAAGAGCAACAAAACAGGTGGGTAGAACACTTCAAAGAACTCTTGAATCGACCAGCTCCACTGAACCCACCCAACATCGAAGCAGCACCCACGGACCTCCCAATCAATGTTGGCCCACCAACAATTGAAGAAATCAGCATGGCCATCAGACAAATCAAGAGTGGCAAAGCAGCAAGACCGGACAACATCCCAGCAGAGGCACTAAAAGCAGACGTAGCGGCAACCTCAAGGATACTCCACATTCTCTTCAATAAGATTTGGGATGAGGAACAAGTACCAAAAGACTGGGAAGAAGGACTTCTGATCAAAATTCCGAAGAAAGGCGATCTCAGCAAGTGTGATAACTACAGGGGGATCACTCTTCTCTCAATACCGGGAAAAGTCTTCAACAGGGTATTGTTAAACAGGATGAAGGACTACGTAGACGCCCAACTTCGAGACCAACAGGCAGGATTCCGTGAGGATGGATCGTGTACAGACCAAACCGCAACACCACGGGTCATTGTGGAACAATCAATTGAATGGAATTCATCACTCTACATCAACTTCATTGACTACGAAAAGGCATTTGATAGCGTGGACAGAACAACACTATGGAAACTTCTTCGACACTACGGCGTGCCTCAGAAGATAGTCAATATCATACAGAGTTCATATGATGGATTACACTGCAAAATGGTGCATGGAGGGCAGTTGACAAAGTCGTTCGAAGTAAAGACCGGTGTTAGGCAAGGTTACTTACTCTCACCCTTTCTCTTTCCTTGGTGACCGACTGGATCATGAGGACGTAAACATCTGAAGGGAAGCACGGGATACAGTGGACAGCTAGGACGCAGCTGGATGATCTAGACTTCGCAGATGATCAGGCTCGTCTATCTCACACGCAACAACAAATGCAGGAGAAGACGACCAGTGTAGCAGCAGTAGGTCTTGATATACACAAAGGGGAAATGCAATATTCTACGATACTACAAAGCATGCAAAAATCGAATCACACTTGACGGAGAAGATTTGAAAGATGTAAAAAAAGTCTACATATCTGGGCAGCATCATTGATGAACACGGGGGATCTGATGCAGATGTGAAGGGGTGGATCGGCAAAACAAGAGCAGCATATTTACAATCGAAGAACATATGGAACTAAAAACAACTGTCTGTCAACCAACACCAAGGTCAGAATTTTCAACACAAATGTCAAGACAGTTCTACTGAATGGGACGGAAACTTGGAGAACTATGAATGTCATCTTCCAGAAGATATAACCGTTTATTAACAGTAGTCTACGTAAAATACTTCGAATCCGTTGGTCATACACTATCAGCAACAACCTACTATGGGAGAGAACAAACCAGACCCTAGTAGAGGAAGAAATCAAGATGATGCACTGGAAGTGGAAAGGAGACATGTTGAGGAAATCACCCAACTGTGTTACAAGGCAAGCCCCCACTTGGAATCCTCAGGGCCAAATAAAAGAGAATAGGAAGACCAAAGATTACATACATTTCGCCCAGAAATGTAGACATAAATGAGAAAAATGAACAAAATTTGGATAGAACTGGAAAGGAAGGCCCAGGACAGAGTGTGTTGGAGAACACTGGTCGGCGGTCCATGCTCCACTTCGAATAACAGGCGTAAGTAAGTATTTGATGTTTCGAAGAAATTGTACTAACCAACTGACAAAACTTCACTATTATGGTTTATATGAAGGTTGTGCAGTTCATATTTGGACTTATGTTACATTGTTGAAGTCAGTCAGCCAGCTACAACGTAGTACCAGGCACATATATGCATCGGTCCAAGTTGCCATACCTCATTAACACAACAAGATGAACACCGGATTCATAAAAGTAGTTAATTCAGAGGTGGTAATATATAAAAGAAAGATTTAGTACGTAGATAGAAAGATATAAAATAATTTTAGTCTCATAGTTTAAGGGAAGACAAAGAGTGTATACACCGACGCCATTGTGATCGATTCTGAGCCATGTCACCAAGAGTCTCCAACCATTGGTTACGATAGTCGCGCGGACTCCAACCAGGTAGCCTGCATCTACCAACATGGCTCAGACTAGAAGTTAGTGACTTCAAGCACTGATGCCACGTTTTGGTTTGACCGCCCCTAACTTTCTTCAAACCATCTCCAACACCGGTTAGCATTACACGTCGTGGTAATCGGTGTTCAGGCATACGTAACACGTGGCCTAACCATCTCAGTCGATGAAGATTCACAACCTCATCAACTGGTTTACCATCATCCACTAATACCCTACGTCTAACCTCACCATCACTTACCCGGTGATCCCAGCAGACGCCAGCAATATTCCTAAGGCATCTGTGGTCAAATACTAGTAGCTTACGAGTGTCTTCTTCTCTTAATGGCCATGTTTCGCTGTCGTTAATTAAAACAGAACGAACTGCCGCTCAGTATACTCGTCCTTTTATTGATAGACGGATATCTCACCTTCTCCATAGGTGACGTAAGTTGGCAAAAGCCAAACGAGTTTTTCGAATCCGTGCTGAGATTTCGTCGGACACCAACCCATCGTTGAAGTACATCGATAAGTTTTATACTGATGATCACTGTACATCATAAACTTGTAATTCTTAATCATTCCTGCCAAGTTCAACCAACTATTATGCTCCGATATCTGTACATTGAAGTAAAAGCTTCATTTAAATGCATTATATAGAAACCTAATATTTAGAACTCATCATTGGAACTATTGTATTAGGGAGTATAATAAAAGAATGTTCACCCGACAAAACAATCAATTTATTAATAATACTAATATATTTGTAATATCTCAATGGGTAGAAAAAAAGTAACTTTTTAAATTTTCTAACGTTTCGTGTCTCAGTTTAGGCCACTTCTTCAGAGGAGAATAACAATTTATCCAATGCTCAAATTATTTGAAATTATCAAGTTAAGCCTTGACACTACAAAATGAATTTGTGTTTGTCTTTCATGGATTTTAAGTGTACACATTTATGTTGTCCAAACTTTCTTTAAATATAACAAAGTCATAGGAAATATCTAGTTGACTATACAAAGATTATTGTCAGCATATGAATGTTGTATAACAAAATATTCGGATAAAAAGGTCATCTTCTGAAAAGTAAAATCAATAATACATTTTAATATGACAATCAGAGCATGACAATTCCAATTAGTTTCAAGAAACCTAGTTTCATTCATAATTACTTCAAACAACATAGATGATAAATATATCTCATTCGGTGTATAAAAAACAGTCAAACTGAATCAAAAGTATTCCAACAACATTGGAAAGAAATCTCACTAACATTAAGTAAGAACCAAACACTTGAACAATAAACTCAACAATTCCTAATTCTAAACGATTTACCAAAGAAATACAAAACGCCAGAATTTGACTGTTTTCTTCATATACATTACAAACAGAAAATAATTGTTAGGGATGTTAGATCCCCAGAACTCATTTGGCAAGTACCTTATTTTTGTAATTTTATTTTAAAAATTTGAATTTCTTTTTTTCGCACTAAAAGCGTTCATTTTCACCTTCATATCGTATTCCCCACATGGGGAGGGACCTTAATTACCGTTGGTTTGTTGTATCTTTTAGTTTGTTATTTTGTAACGCTCCCCAAGGTCAATTTTATGCTGTATATATACGATTGATTTTTGCCTGTTGTTATTGCTCATGCTTCTGACTACTTATGGAATATATTTCCCTTTTCCAAACTTGAACTTCTCTCTCTCTCTCTAGTTAACGGGGTTGAGATGTGTCAGAATAGCTAGCTTATTTGTCATTGTGTCACAAATTCTTCGTACCGTTCTCAGATTAGGTGAACTCATAATCGCTTCAAACACAGCAATAATAAAAGTGAGAAAAAAGAACAACAAAGATATAAACTGTAAAAATCACTTGAACAAAACAAAAAAAAGTGGCTAGAAAACTTTAAAAAAAATTTGATTGGAATTGTAATAAATAATGAATTTTAATTAATTTGTGATTTTCTATCCAACGAAATAAAATCCATAGTGACACTTCACTATTGAATTCAAAACTGATAAGATTTTTACAAACAGACAAATGAAGATAAATAAATTTTGTTTGGCCTTCAATGATGAAATACACACGCACACACACACACAAACGGTTCATCTCAATTCGAACTTTTTCTTATTATTTAAAAAGAAAAGAAAAAGGGCATAGATACTAATACAATTTCATGATTCAAAGCATTTTGTTTTGCTTTCTTAATTAATAAGAAATAATCGAACATTTATTAGTAAAATAATCCTTTCTCTAATCTCGTATAAAATTATCCCAGTAAAGTTGAAAAAAAAATTAGGATCAACAATTATTTTCATTTTAATAGTTGAGATATTGATTCAATTGAAGTTAGATCACTATGGAAAACTTGGAAGCACTAAATAGCCGTTTCGTTCTACTATAGTGGATGTGTCGCTTAATTTCATAGATTTGTTGAAGTTAGATATTAACATCATTGAATGTCCTGGATTTGAATCTGGCGAGGTAGGATTGTGGATGAGCACTACTGAGGAGTCCCACAATGGGACGAAACGACCATCCAGTGCTTCCAGATTTTCCATGATGGTCTAGCTTCAACTGACTCATGATCTTGACTATTGAAATTACTATAATATTCACAAAACCTCTTCTGACATTTATTATTTTAACGAAAATGAATTTTAGATAAATACAGAGTCTAAAGTTATTTCACATCAATTTTCAAAATCACATTTATTGGCGTTCAAACAATGTTGTTGTTTTAGTTAGCTAAGTCTATATCAGGCTTTACTTTTCTGTGGCATTCGTTTCAATCATGTAATATGAGGGTCTAGAAATCGATTTTTTATGACTATTCAACAGTTCTCATACAGGAAAACAGTTGAAGATAACAAATTATTACAGAAGAAAAACATGCTTATTTAAGAAGTGCAACAAGAAATCGTCATTATCTTCGATTAGGTCATGATGTTTTTAGTAGTTTTCTAATCTATAAATCAGTATTTTATAGGACTACTACTAGTAGCTAACTTCAAGATGGATTTCCTGGAGTTATAGTGAGAAGCCTTGGCCAGTGGCATCCAATCTGTGTCCGGTGTGAAACAGTTATTCACCTGAGACAAGGGGTGAAGAGTTGCGCAAGATATCAAGGATCAATCTAAATTGGAAATTAACACTGTTAGATAACGGCTCAGTGGCCTAGAGGTCATGTGTTTGCGCGTGAGACTGAAGTGCCTGGGTTTGAGTCTCATGTGCGATATCATGGATATGCACTACTG